GCGGGAAGGCTCAAAGTAAAGTTTCTTAGCGGGACGCGCTGCAGTTTCGCGACAGTTTTGGGCCAAACTAAAAGTTGTTTTTACATTACTGGTACATTATGTATCAAATCCAGATTTTATACCGAGGTGGGAGAGTACGTCGGGGATACACTGACGGAAAACTCGATTATAACAGTTTGATGGATTTTGTCAAATCAAAAGTGCCTTCCTTGATCGAATCACTTTTTCAACAGCAGTTTGAAAATGACGGGGTATAACGACCGTTATTATGTCTAGTCCATTTTTGTAACAGGTACAACTGACTAAAATGAGCGAGGGGTTGACATTTTTCGACAGATTTAAGCAACATCCAACTTGTGATTTTCAAAATTACTGAAAATAATTACAATATAATTATAAAAAATAAAGAATGGTTGCTATAAACGCACGCTAGATAATACTTACAATTCAATAAACCGACAACCCCTATGAAATAGTAATCCCAAACCACGTGCCCGTCACTCAAATGGCGTCGACAAGTCTAGATTGGGCAAAGACCAAAGTTTTTTGCAAAGTTGCAAGTCATTTTGCTAACTGACTGTCCGAATAATTCTCAGAACGGCTGTAAAACAGTGACTAACATTTCTTTTCCCCAAACCAAAGACACTATGTCTTTGCCGAAACATAAACGCCGGAACATATACCCAGCTCTGGTTCATGTTACGCAAGATACATGACTGGGATGTTCACATTGACCTGATGATTATACTGCTCAAAATCAAGAACAAATTTCAATTGAACGAAATGTACATGTTATTTTTCTACCATGTAATTAGTAGTACCATCGGGTACTATGGTGGTGCAGGAATCTAACTATTTTTAAGTGTGTATAAAATTTACTATTAAATAATATTTGTTTCTAGTACTGCCAGAGTTTATTTTTTCTAAATAAAAATTTTGTCTAAATTCAAAATAAACTTGTGTTGGATTACCCACAAATGTGGCGGGTGGTGTGGGGCAAGTTTATTGGAAACCCACAAACCACAAACTGAAAGGGGTCTATATTTTCAGTATTCACTATTGCTAAATAGATCAAAAATCACTTAAAAGCAATGTTCAAGCCAAAATTATTATTAATTCTGGCAGGAAAATGGCTAATAAATTTATCACCCACATAAAAACAGAACCATAGAGTAAATGGGTATACATCTTTATCTGGAAAGGTATGGGGTTCTGGAGGTGTTAGAGGCACACCCTACCACATTTCCAGGTGGTGGTGGTGGTGGTGGTGGGGGGGGGGGTTATGACATTGACATTGCAGAGATTTTCACTATGTTTTACATTCAACTAATTTGTATAGCAAACTTTCCTTGGACACAGTAGAATTTTCAGGAATCTTTCTCCATTTTTTGTGTGTACATTTTCTCGTGCAATGTAGATACTAGTAATATTTTCTAATTGTTACTCTGCAAATTTGTTATTCTAGCCTAGCCAGCACCAAACAACAAAATCAAAGAAAGCTTAGAAAGAACTCCCGTGTGCTGAGAGTATTGAAGACATATTAAAAATTAATTCAAAATTACTTGTACTTGAGATATTGATGGAATAGCTGAAAACTAATTATGTAAATCAGGTAACTGATATGAACAGATTTAAGTGTAAAACTAATAAGGTCTGCACAATGTACCAAGTTTCATTGAAATGTGATTAGAACCCAAAAAATATTAATTATTATGCTAATTAGAGAGTTAATATGAACAGATTTTAACCCAAAATTAATCAGGCTGC